TACTTGGGACATCTGTAAGTTAATCAAAAGTTACATACAGTCACGATGCATATATCATGTTAATGCAGAGGTCATTTGAACAATTAAAGAAGAAATTTACATTTACATATCAAGATCATATTTCATGGAGGTATGAGATCTCGGAATTCTAGTTTCAGTTGCGTTTATCTGTCCGTCCGTCCGTCCGTCCTCCGTCTGTCTGTTGGTCAACAAGATAACTCAAGAACGCCTGGATGGGATTGGTTTCATACTTGGTGTGTTGGTAGGGTGTGACGAAAACTGGAAATGATAAGATTTTTGTCCCCCTAGTGGCTTCCCTTGGTACTGCAGCGCAACTTCCGGTTTTGATATCTCGCGATCTGGGCATGCTAGGGTCATGAAATTTTGATGGAAGGTAGCTCTCGTGCTTGGATAGAAGTCATATAAGTTTGGGCCCCCTAGCGGCTTGTTCTGGAACTGCAGGGCACTTTCTGGCGAAATGTTTAAAAGCCAATAAGTCCAGACAGGAACAACATATTTTCATTATTTTTGGTGTGTAGGTAGCTGAGAGAGAGATGTACATAATTAAATGCAAATTATGCAAATGAGGACTTTATTTGCATAATTAATGAGGAAATTCTACAATTACAGTGTTTTACATTATACTATGTAACCTATGGCAGGCGGAACTTCAACAGATACTAATTATGCAAATGATGACCTAATTTGCATAATTAATGTGAAAATTCTATGATTTCGTAATGGTGAATGATGAGAATGTCATACTTGGGACATCTGTAAGTTAATCAAAAGTTAACATACATCACGATGCATATATCATGTTAATGCAGAGGTCATTTGAACAATTAAAGAAGAAATTTACATTTACATATCAAGATCATATTTCATGGAGGTATGAGATCTCGGAATTCTAGTTTAGTTACTGTTTTTGAAAGGTAAAAAACCTCCAAATTTGCGATGTCGACTGTACATCTTGATCACAGGGTGACCTAGTCTCCCGAGAACACGAGACTAGGTCGAGACTTGTGCGAAACTTCTAAGGCTCATAGAAAGATCAAGGAAGCAGTCCACATTCAGTTAGCACATGCCGGGATGAATCACAATGAAGGTTGGGAGCTGCCTTAGTCCTACTCCGCAAGGAGGCGGGGAGGCCAGAGGATCCACACAAGTCTCGACCTAGTCTCGTGTTCTCGCGAGACTAGCTCAATCCGTGATCAAGATGTATAGTCGACATCAATTTAGAGGTACATGTACATGTTTCTACCTTTCAAAAACGGACACTAATTGAGAAATACTGTACTAACTTTTTTTTTTCTTTTTCTTTAGCCAGAGTAGCGCACTTAGTAAATACTGATTTGTATGGGGCCCTTGTAATGTTAAACGAATGGCTGTAACCTCCAGATACGTAATTATTGTTTTGGTAGCTTTGCTGTGGGTTGATATGTGTGTCTGCTCGTCAGCAGCCAAAAATGGCAGAATGACAGGTTAAAAGGCCAAACACATGGAAATGGGTAAACTTTAGAGAAAATTGATAGCACATGAATGGGTTACACCACAGCGTAAATATGGTTAGACAGAATGGCACGATCTCAAAATGGCAGACACGGGAAATCGGGTGAACTTGAGGGTAACAAAAACCCAAAACTGAGAATCGAACTTCTCGGAAGACTATAATCTTGTTCACTAAATGTATCACATCTTCCACTAGGTACTGTTTCTTTGGCATAGTGGGAGAAGTTGGAGACCGCGACTGTTTTGAGATGCTGAAGTTGATACAAGAGGCAATGGAGACCAGGCTGTTGAGATGCTGCAACCCTACGTGTGGCAGACCTGGCTACAGGTAGGGTTTGGTAATAAAATACCATTTCTACGACAATTCAAATGCCGTAATGATAAAAAAATATCTTGTCGAATATGTCGCAGTGTCGAAAATAAGTTGGAAAAAGTGTACCGTCACCATGGCGTATGTTTAGTGTTGTTTAGTGATCCATTTGAATTTTCAGTCTTTTTAACCAACAAGAGCGGTCGAACAACTTTTCGGGAATTTACCACAGTCCTTAGTAGCTTAAGTAACTGTTACAATTTTTACAGATCCACCTTGCAGCTGTGTGCCCAGTGCAAGCTGACCCGGTACTGCAGCCGAGACTGTCAGAAACAACACTGGACTGTCGGACACAAGAAGTGCTGTGGGCATGACGCGTACACTGGCGAGAGACCAGACCTATTGAATTGCAGGAAGCTGATCGAGTCAACTGTAGGGTGGCCCAATTAACACTGTACTGTACCCGGAAACATTTTGGAACATGTGTAATTCATGTACCTTTAGATGTAATTTAGACTTTACTGCACAACTTTTGCATCTTCCATGCCTAATCATAACTTCATGAATTACGTTCATGGCAGTATTGTTTTGAGTTACACTGTCATTGGTTTCTATCTCTCTCCTACTTGCTTCGGTTGCATGGTCGGTGGAGGTTAATTTTGACAGATATTTGATATAGGGTAAAGCCCGGAGCGGGGAAAGTCTACATCACGCATAGTCTGGAAATTTTTATTCTGTCTTCCAGTGACACCCACTGTAGGTTTCTTTTCATTTCCGTGAAACTAGCAACCTTTTAATAGCTGTTTATACAGATATTATGATTAAATTCTGTTTTTCGGCCTTTCAAGTTTTTCTTTCTTTGTATATGGATCCCATAATGTCGCGGCTTTTCTTAGGTTCGGTCTTACAAGTGACATGTATACGAAATATTTAACGTTAGTTGGGCATGCCCACAGACTACGTTTGATCACTGCTGCTTAGCTTTAGTTGTGATATTATACTAACATGGGCATCCCAATTCAGACGGCTTGTTTTTGTGTATGTGTAACATGTCGGACCATACAGACGTCTATCTACCACGTAACTGTACACAAGAATTACTTCGTGAGTGTCAATGAAAATTACAGATGCACTGTGTTTTTCAGACGTTTCACCAATCATTGTACAGATATAAAAGTTTGTTTCATCCTGTACAACGTAGTATGTAAATGTCTGTATCTCATGTAGAGTATTGCAGGCGTGTTGCGCATGCTTGCATATACAGTATAAAATTAATTGTTGAGCAATAAAGTTTTCGTCGTCAAGTAGCGATGGTCAAAAGTTTTCTACTATTTATTTACATTTTCTTCGACACAAGAGAAATATGTTTCTACAGATATCGCACGCCGTGGCATAACTTACAGTTCTAAAAGCTCCCGCTAGGAGTCTCTCCTAGACCATCGGGCTGACCGCTTCTATGGCCGTGCATGTCGTTTTTACCATCCTTGCTAGTTTACGTCCGCTCTCATAGTCCCTGCCATCAGCTGGTTGGTAGGCGCGACAGTGGGAACGCATTAACTAACCAGGACGATACCCAGGCTAATTCGATGAGCGTCAAAGCTAACGTATGTAGGTAACGTTCCGGCGTAAATTATACGTATTGTAACAACATAGACTCCAAGTAGTTGGTATTGTTTGTAATATTTTCATTGACGAGTTTTACATTCATCACAATCTAGTATTTTTCGGTAGGGCTATAGTTGATGTCATTATACATCCTTTTTTTAACCACTGTTTATTCAAATCATGGAGACAATCATACATCCTACTATAGCGAATTCCATCACAGATAAAGGTACAGAGACTAGAAAGCATCATTTGTTACACTACAAATGCTTCTTGAACAAAACATGAATACAAGATTATACGAAATACAGAAGAACCAAATATGTTTATATCCACCAGCCAAAACGGATATGACTCACAATGCAGTAAAGATACATGTACTAGTATACAAAACGTTGAATCATAATGATTCATAACTTTATCTCTGGCTAAGGAGTTTTAGATACAAATATCGAATAAAACGTGTTGCACAACCTATGAAATATGTGAAATATACACTACAACACTACGGAAAGCCAGCTTTTCTAGCGTTAGAGTCTTCTCGAAAGAATCGCCTTTAAAAGTTTTAAAAAACTAGCACAACTGTGCGATCTCTGAAAGATTATTAGAAAGATCTGCTGAAGTTTTCGACAAAGGATAAAAGCCCAGCTGACTTCACGTTGTAGGTGTTAAAATGTTAAATAGTGATTGCGTTTTCAGTCTGCGTAGACATCGTTGTCGCCATGGTACATTCTGGACGCTTTCAGCCCACCTCACCAGTCTTATAGTTGTCACATGTCAGCCGTACAACTTTCAACAAGACATCTCCACCCTCTCAGCGGTCCTATGTCGATGTTACCAGCTGGCCTATGGGTTGTCCTGTCCATTCTTCCAAGTCGCTGGTCCATGTCCGGCGAGGACATCCCCCTCCCACTTTCAGGTCCAATATAATCTCGTTTCCCATCGGCTGAACAGACAATCACGTGACCCCTACCCTGATACTAATTATTCCGCCCCTTTACCCTCTGACCCTTCCTCCCTAACCCTCGTAAGGGTCATTCGTGGCTCAACCTTTCTCTGTACGGTCACATTTGACTAAACAATTGGCAACCAGCCTGAGGGTAAAATAGGTCGCCAGCTCGCAGCACATGACTTGTTGTTGTTGTATTAGGCTCCTGCATAAGTGTGTACATGCTATGAGAGCTACAATGTGTAGAGAGTAATGGTGTTACTGAGTTGATGAGCCAATTGCAATAAATGCCCGACCGTACTGAGGTGACGGTGAGCTCACTACCCTAATTGTGTGTGTTTGTCTGTGAAATAGACGGGAAACATAGTTCTCTTCGGAGCTTGCGAAGAAGAGAAGATGAATGCATCAGCTCAAGCACGACATACTGTACAGGCTTACGTTGGGGGGGGGGGGGGGTTATGTCGTTTGTCTCTGAATTGTTGTATATGTTCAAAACGCGAAGATACAGAAGTTCCGGCCAGCCGAAGCAATGATAAAAACATTAGTGATTCAATGATGAACAGTATTATTGCTAGTGTGAATACATGTCATTGGGAACACATGTCTGAATATGTATATAATATATGTCTTTGAGAACTTATATGTATATAAAATAGACCAATTCTGTATTTGCGAAACAACATGTGCTACATTATGAAAAACTGTTCTCCAACTCAAAAAGTTTGACTCACTGGAATTTTCCCCTGAATCACTCAGTCTTCCTCAGCTATCTGATCCAAATCTGACTTTATAATGTAATTTACCAACTCAGATGAACTTTCATGCTGAACATGTGGTACAGTACTAAGTTTTACATTCAGTAGTGATTTACAGGTACGGTACATTACACAGTTCCTGTCAGGATAGCAGCCAGGCATAGATGTAGATATTTTTTGTAATAATGATATATATATATTTACCACAAAATTGAGCATAATTGTTAGTTGTGAGTTCAGTACAAGTAAATGCCACAATCACAGCTCAGAAACTAATGTTTACACATGTATTGTTGTACAATTTAGTCGCTTACAATACAGTGCGTACATAAAGTGCACCAGGCAAGTTATGTATTTGGAGCGAGCCACTTTGTGAGTTTGTAACTACATAATATTATGTAGTACACTAGTAGGTTTTCATATTTACAGGTACGCTGCATGCATGCATTACACGGGTCCGGGCCGGATAGCCGAGACATAGATGCAGAAATTCATTTTTCCCGTAATTTTTTTAATGATGATCTGCATTGTTGCTATTTATTATTAGCAAAATTACTCGACCCGAAAAGTCCTACAATGAAATATGAAAAAAAAAAAACAGCGTACCTGGCATATCTGTATCTCTACCTAAGGAAATCGTGGATGAATGAATATTTATTCAACTTGCAGAGTTACATAGCCTAAATTGTGTTAAATTTACAAAGTTTAAAATGTACATACTAAGTATTACAAGCATTATCAATTAGTTACATTAAAAATACGCTATTTTGATATTTTCTGGAATCGCTTATACCATTTGGAATAATATTGGTGCATTAATATACATATACATATAAAAATAAGTAAAAATGCGTTGTAAGTAAAGTACTGGTAGTACATCATTACATCGAAGAAACTAATTTTCTGAGTAGCCTCCTGTGCAGGCTCCGGGCGGGTGGGCGTTTTGAATACTGCGTTTTGTAGAGTTGGCAGGACTACTAGGTCCAGTAAACAGCTACAAAGTCTCAGACCCAGAACTGTTCGATTTACAAAGAAATCAATCTACTGACTACTATATGGCCAAAGTGTTGAAGGATATGTAAGTTTTCGGAGCTCATAAGTAGTAGCATACATGATGTGTTTATGGCCAAACAGTTGTATTGTACCGTTGATACTGTATATCATACGTAAATGAAGTGTAAGTCTGAACTTATATATATACATATTCTTCAAGCTTTTAAATTGTACGAAGTCGACAATTCAGCCAACGTCCGAAGCGCTTGTGCTAAGGCTACCAAACTTGGTGACTTTTAAAAAATATTATCGCCAACAATTCCATTGTAGTGAGATGAATTAATAGTTTTTCGTGTTGCCATGGCAACGGGTTTTTGACGGGCATTTTTTTAAAAATCAGTATATTTTGACTTAATGAAATTCTGAGGCTTTTATGTTAATTTATAATGATTAGTATTAACAAAATCTTATATAATTCCATGTAATTTTCATCAGTAATTATGCATAATCAAAGCTAAGTTAATGACGTCATTGGCCAACATCCAACATGGCGGAACATACGATAAGTTCAGTTTCATTTCGGCTATTTTCCCTTAAAATATCATCCCAACTTGGATTTTTTTACAGAAAAGGTTCATTTGAACCACTTGAGTCTATTTCCTTTATAGTTTTAGGCTTAATCTTGAAAAAAGTATTTTAGAAAATTCAATATTGACGATCCAAGATAGTGGAGAGTTTAAATATACATGATGTCATGTTATGACGTCATTAGTGTTGCCACGGGCAACATACAATTAGGTAGACCTTATTATGATATCATAAACACTTTTTGTTAAAGTTGTGTTGTATACCATCAATTTTATCTTAAGAAAAAACATTTTAGGCAGTATATCACATGAATGACGTCATGATGACGTCATATATATTACGTTATAATGATATAAAGAATTGTTGACATGATTGATCTTTACTAATAGACCATACAAAAAATTGGCGGTCATACGATATGCCGTTCTTGAGTTCTGAGACCCCCACCCCCACCCCCTCCCAAAGATTAAAAAAAGCCCAGTCTAGATAGGGTTAAGTCTTCTCTACCGGTACCACCAAAGATCGCTAAATTATATATTGTATTCGTGTATTCACATTTTCTTCTTCGCTTTTGTATTTGATTTCTAACACTTATTTTGTAGATTCCAATTATTTCATATAGATATAATCCTACAAACTACAACTTTTCCATGCTGTTGTCTGCAATATTTGAGCCTTTAGCTCAAGAAGAAAAATTCTAAAGCTAGCTTTTTTCGTTATTATTGTTTCATAATTTTGTGTGAGCGAAGTCTTTATCATCATAATCATTTATCTAAAATA